GTAGGCTCTGCATGTCACAGGGGTTCCTGTGAGACCTGTTTGCTTACTAGTTGAAGACAAGGCCCATTGTGTGGGGTTTTTGGCCAAATAAGGTTTTGAGATCATTCTGAAGTTGTCTCCTCTCAAGGTAAGGACAGCAAAATTCCCTCTGATAGAACTTTACAGAATCTGGACAAGATTCTTCCTTCTCCCAACTCCCTCTTGGATTTGGCAGTCAGGGAAGAGATGGCCCAAAAAACACAGGCAGCAGGGAGTACTTGAGTAAGGATTTATGGATTCCTGAAGCTGAGGTGTGAAAAGGAAAAGCCTGATTTTTATCCCTAACTCCCTACTGATCTTTTAAGCTCCTTTATTCTGAGGCTCTCAGAGGTGCTTGGTGTCACTGAAGTCGAACTTTTCTTTCCTCTGCTTTTGCTCCCTATCCTGCAACATGGCAAAAAATGGTTTTGTCTGGGTTCTTTTGGATCTCAGAGTCCTGGCTGCTGCAGACTCCAGGAAGAACCCGTGTCTGTGGGTCCATCAGCCCAGAAAATGGAGCTGCAGTGTCCAGCTGCAAGTCATTGATGAGCTCTTGGCTGCTCAGCAGAAACCACTGTGACTTGTTAAATGTACTGAGGGTTGTGAAATAAACAGGTTTGACAGCTGCTCTCCCCAGATTGGGCTGTTCTTGTCTCAGTTCAAGAATCTCTGCTTGAGAATATCAAATTGTCTAATCCAAGCTAAGCAAGAAGCCCAGGAATGTTTCTAGAAGCATCTTTGATTTAAAAAACTAGATGTCATTCTGTAAGCTTTCTCATGTGTGTGTTTTCTGTTTTTTAATATTCCCTCTCCATAAATCAAGTCGTTCCACTTCTATAAGTAAATTTCCCTCTGACATTGAAATTGAGGAACAAATGAAATCATCATTTTTGCTGATTCTCTCCACTCCTGTTGTTTGTGGTTCAAGTCTTGGCTATGTATTGAGGACTGTATTATTATTTTTTAATCTAAACTATTTCTTCCACAGTAGAGAGGATTGTTTTGTTACTTGAAATTACAGAAACATCTTGGTTATAAAAGCTGAAGAAAGAGAGGCTTAGAAATTCTGATACTGTTTAATTAGTCTATATACTAAAAATAGGCTTTGTAAAGAAGGGTAGCAACTCATTCTGTAATACTCCTAGTCAACAGCAAAAGCCATAAAGTTTTTTTTCCCGAAATGATTAATGGCTGCATATCTAAAGTTCTGCAAATTTTTGTAATGCTCAGCAGAATCTAAAAGTTTGAGAGAATATCTTGTGTTCCTGCTTGTGGAAATAGCTGTTCTTTAATCTGTTTTGTTTGCTGCCTTGCCAGCCAGGCTAAAAAAGTGAGCAGCACCATCAAGCTGTGCTGATGCTGTGAGCCATTTCCATCCTCCAGTGTTCCAGATTCCTTGTCTGCCATCATCCCTGCATGCAGTGAGGGTGTGCATGTGTCAGGAATGCAGCGTTGGGCACCAGTCCTGGACCCTCTGAAGACACTCTGTCCAAAACAAACACCCTGTCAGTGTAATTTAGTTGATAAATATCTTAACAGCTTTCTGGGGAGGAACCTCTGCTTGTGTTCTGCAATGTACCAAAAGCATTTTTAGTGATCCTCAAGTCCTTGGACACGAGGGCCTGTAGTGCTGTTTGTGCTTTGATGGTGCCAAACCATGTAGATGCTTTGTTGTCTGCTTCCCCCAAAAATGTGGTGTGATAGACTGCTCAGAGACTGGGCCTTTTGTTTAATATTTCGTGGGGATTAAAGAGAAGAACAACAGATAAAACCGCTGTCCATGAAATGAAAATGAGCATTCTAATGTTTATTAGTGTCAAAGATCAGGAAACTTCATTGTTCCTGCTTGGCATTACTGATAGTTGTCCCTGTTCTGTGTCCATGGGTAAATCCTTGGGCATTTTCTGTTCATGTCTTCATCCTGGTCACATGTTCTCAAGATACAAACTCCAATCCAAAAGGAAATGATTTGGTGAGTGTGTGAAGTACAGATTGCAGGAGAAGCAGCAACATCACACCGTTTGTTTAGCTCTCACGTGAAGCTGTTGTCTTCACACAAACTCAGTATTGAACAAATGTATGGATGTGATTTTTAAAAATACAAATATTTGTCTTCTTTAGTTTATATTGTAGCACATCTGCATATATAATACATATGCAAATGCAAAATTGCCTATTTAAGGCTCCTTATTTAGGAAAGCACAGGGCCATTTGTTTTGGCCCTGATTTGAAGGTGAATTAAGGAACTGCTTTGGTGCTTTGCTTATTTGGAGAAAGCCACATGTAATGTGTTTGCCAGTGAAAGATGTACAGAATGGTGTCCTGCTTCCACAGTCAGCTGTCCTTACAGTAAGGCCTGTGGGGTAGAGTTGGACTTGGAAAGAAAAGGATCTCCTGAAATGTGGTTTGTGTGCCATGAGAAGCTCGCTAATACCAGTGGTGTTGGGGGTGTCCCTCCGTGCTATTAAATGAGTTGGGTGACTTTGCTGAAGTCACAGAAATTGCTACATATCTTTTATAATTAGCTAACTAAATAATCCAAGTGAAAAAGAAAAGTATTTTTAATTTTTATAGTGCAAGATAATTTTTTTAAGTCAAATTTTGAAATCTTTATTTGAAGCTGTGAAAGAATTCATTAAATCCACCTTTATAACAATGTGCCTTTGTGGTGATGACACATGCTCTGACATTAGTGGTCTGCAGTGAAACCAAAAGGAATTCCTTGGAGCAGGGTTGGGCAAGTGGCTTTTTTTCATTCCTCAAGAATCAGATGGAAATGTGTGACCCAACATTGCCATTGGTGGCGGAGTGGCTGCTGTTTGTGGGAACAAGGATGACAGATTTGTTTGGAGGGAAGCTTGGGATCTGTGTGAATTATTTCTGTCTGGAGATGGGAGAGGAGGCAGGACATGGTCTGAGTCCAGCTCTGCCCTTGACTTGTCCCATGCAGCCCCCTTTGAATTCAGAGGGAATTATCTCCAAATAAATATCAGGGTGGATGTGCACGAGTGAGTGAGAATGCAATCACCTGATGTGGGATCCCCATAGTGAGGTGTTGACTCATCTTTTCATGTATGGAAAGCTATTCTGCAGCCTTAGGAACAGTGCTTTCAGCTGGGGAAGGCATGGAAGCACTTGTGTGAAGTGCTTTTCCAAGCAGGGATTTTTTCCATAGTCAAGTCCTGTGCAAACTTGAAGTGTCTTTGATTTAGGGAAGGGGGGAGTGAAGCAGTTTCAGGTGCTGCTGTCTGTGAATAATATCCTGCACATGGAGCCCCTACTCTGTTGGTCCTTAGGCAATACTGTGATAAAAAACAATGCAAACACCTGCACTTGGATCCACCTGCTGAGCTCTGTCTTTTACTCCCTGTTCTATAACTTAGGGAAAAGGAGGCAGGGACTTCTCTGTGCTTTGGCTGCTGTGTTGAGGGGCACAAACAGGCAGAGCTGCCACAACACAGTGAAGCTGTCCTTGTGCTGGGCTCCTGCGTGCACAGACAGGCTGGGGGAGGCAGGAGAAATCCCTGTCCCTGCCTTGCCTGCTCTCTTGCATTTACTCTTGCTCCTCCTGTTGTGGGGACATAAATTGCTTTCATCATATTAACATGATATTAATTTCTCATTATTTTATTGAGTTCATGTCCCAGCAGCTTCTAAATTTCAGGCTTAGTGTGCTAATGAAGTTTAATTGTTCCCTACCCAGATAATTTGTATTTATAAATACACTTTGTTTTCTAACTAAAGGAATTCTGGGGCAGGAAAATGCCCAACTTAATTCAAGGTTTGGTCTTTAACATTTGCAGCTGCTGTGCAAAATGCAGGCTGAAGCTGTAGTTATCTGTGTTAGCAACAACAAAAAAATTGCCTTTTTTTTTTTCTTTTAAATTGTGAGATACAATTGTTTGTTTTGCACTTTCTAATCTTGAAAACAGAAGCTGGGCAGAACTGGTTGGCTCTCCTCACCTCTGCCTCTGTAAGGACTGGAACCAGTTTAATTGGGGATAGGTCAGCAGTACGAAAGTTTTAAGATCTTTCTCAGTCATGTCAGTGTTGTTTCTCTTGTTTAGCTTTTTTTGTGCTGGGTTTGTGAAGGTAAAACATGGCTTAGCCCTTAATGTACAACTGTTTTGGCTTCAATCTAACAAAGCTATAAATAGGCTCCCCTTTGCCTCCCCAGCAGTAGGAAATGACTGCAGCAGGTGTTGTCCTCTGCTAGAAATTTGCACATTATTACTACCCAAGTACTTTTTTCTTAAAATCAGCTTTCTTGTTTTCTGTTCTTCCTTTAATAAATGCCAACTGACTGGTCAGCAAGTATCTTAAAATCTGAAGTCTTCATTAGGTCAAAAGAAATAAAACCAGAAAGGTATTTTGTTTTATTTTTGTGCAGCCTCTGTGTAAAGTTTATTTTACATGCAATTTAAAAGTATTACCAGAAGGCACAGGAGAGCTGCATAAAGCTGACTGAAATGTTTTTTATTCTTTTGGCTTTGCTGGGGTGGATTTTAACTCAGGTTTGTAGCAGTTCCTCTGTGATAGGACTGGCAGATGCTTGGAAGTCTGCAGGCAAGATTTGTGTCCATGCTTGGATTGAGTTCTCCTTGCACTGCAGCATCCAGAAAACAAACAGGGTTTTTGTGCAGTGAGGTCATGCTTAGAGTAAATCAGGATCTTGCAGTCTGGTCCATGTGAGATGGGTTTGCTGTGTCAGTAACAGCTTCCCCTTGATCCAGAGCCCATCATTTGGTGCTTGGTCCCAGCAAAGAGCTGGGGATGTTGGGGCAGGGAGAATCAGAATCCGTGTTTGCTGCTGAGCCTGTTCTGCTCAGGAGGGTGGAGAGCCCTGGCCCCTGCCCCTGTGGGTGCTGCAGGAAGAGTGAAACCAGGGCAGATGTGCTGTGCAAACAGCAAAAAGGGGGCACACTCCTGTGTTTGTTCTGTTTAACACTCTGTGCCTTTGCACCCCTTCCTTTGTCCCACAGGTGTGAGAGCTGTGTGGAGCTGCTGTTTGTGAGAGGGGCTGGGAACTGCCACGAGTGTGACACCCCCCTGAGGAAGAGCAACTTCAGGGTGCAGCTCTTCGAGGACCCTGCTGTCGACAAGGAAGTGGAAATCCGGAAAAAAGTGTTGAAAATGTGAGTGCCACCATTTAAAATAACAGAAAGTGGATGTATTTCATGCATCAACATTTTTAAAATTTGACTTGTTCAGTTGTTCAGAGGAGATTTTTATTTTTTTTTAAGTGGCAAACCATAAAAGTTGACTCCATTTGTCATGGAGAGATTTCAGAGAATCTGATTTTGTGCAACAGTTGAGAGCTGAATTCTCAATTTAGCCTTGAGGGATTCCTGCTTAGCATTAGAAAATGTTGAGTGTTTCTATGTGGCCTTCTTTGGCAAAGACTTGGCTCCAAAATGGAGATGATTAGATATTGAGGGGGTGAACATGGCAGCAGAGCAAGAAACAGGACCTTGATTGTTTTGTTCCCTGGGGACCTGTTCTGAGAGTTGAAGGCCAGTTCCCTTCAAAATCCAAATGGGCAAAAGAGAGTTCACATTGTTTTTTGCTGCACACAGCAATTGTTAGTGGAAGTGGTTCCTTGCAAGCCTGGTGTTACCAGTCTGTCATGCAGATTTGAAAGCTCTTGAAATTGAGATAAATGAGGTCTGAGATTGCATCACACTCCTTGTGGCCAGTAAGCAGCATTTTATAAAGAAGCCAGTTGGTGTTTTAATAGAAGAAAATCTGATAAATGTAACAACCAGAGAGAGCTGTGTGTGCCTAAGTGAACTTACAGGTAAATTATAAGCTTGTCAGCCTTTATCTAAAACTTGGGACAATAGTAAATGAATCATATGTTGATGAAACTGTGCCACTGAATACCAAGCATGGGAAGCAGTAATAATTTTGATGTTGGATTTTAAAGTCTATTGAAGCTAACAGAAGTCAATCTGTAATAAGTCAATTAAACATGGAATAAAGTTTAGTTAGAAGAGAAAATGTTGGAAAATTCTTGGCCCACTGGGGTTTGCCAGATTAGTTTTTAGGAGGCAGAAAAAATGCCCCCAAATTGGAATATGGCCTCAATTCTTGGGATTTTTATATTCCTGGGTGTCACACTCCACAGATCAGACAGAATCTAATTTTTATATTTTCTTGGGAAGAAAGTCTGCCTGTCTTGACTTTCAAAAGCTGTCCATGTTCTAAGCCAGTTGTCCCTTCATCTTTTTACTTTCTCCAGCTCTGAAGAGGTGAATGTGAGTGCTGGAATGGTCTATTGATGTGAAATGAGATAATTGTAGAATTTTCAGTTTGCTGCTGACATATGCTTTCTGTTGTTGGCACAAAGCCAAAATCCCTTTTCTGATTGTTCTAGAAAAGCTTTTTATTTTTTTTCTTTTTTCTTTTTTTTTCTTTTTCTGTGGGTGTTGCTGTTGTCTCTGCCTTTGTTAAGAGGCTGGCTGGGAGTTACTCTGTCTTGGCCTCTGTGCTCATGTTTACCTGTAACCCTGGAAAAGGAATTGGCAAACAATAGGCAAAGATAGCAGAGATTTCTTCCAGGCTCCTCCTTTCCTTTGGAGCAGGCACTTCTGTCTCCCAGTAAAGATTTTGGTCAGTTTGGGAGTCACAAAGCACACAGCAGATAAAAGTAGATCAATGCTTAATCAGCTTGCAGCAAAAGCTTTGTTGAATGGAAATTGCTTCTTTCTGTGTTTTATAAATACTTTTCTTTTCTTTTTTCAAAGATACAATAAAAGAGAGGAAGACTTTCCCACTCTAGAGGAATATAATGATTTCTTGGAAGAAATAGAAGAAATTGGTAAGTCTTAATGCTTGAATTTTTGATGTGCTGTGCTTGTGAGACCATAGGCTTTTATCTTCTGACTCAGCTGCCTATGAGAATGTCTAAGTTCAGTTTCTGTAATATGATTTATCACAGTATCAGATTTTTATCTAATTACTTTTTTTCTGGATTTAATCATATTTGTTGAACTGTAAGACGTTGTTAAGTAAAACATTTTATTTGCCAGAGAGAAAACACAATCCAATGAGGAAACAAAGCTGGAAAAGAGAGGCTTGCAGGAGACTGTCAATGCTGCACTGGCAAAGATTAAACAAAGAGAGGAGAAATTGAAATTTTCATTATATCCCTCCATTAGCTTTATCTACCATGACAGAAGCCATATGGTGTCTTTCATCATTTTTGCTTCTGCAAGTACAGTAGTTGAAGCTGCTTTGAAGCTGCTGACCTTACATACCACTGTGGTAGCATTTTATGTTGCTGTGCAGAAGGAGAAGGTTTAGGAACAGACGTGGATTTCTTTCTCTTTGGATTAGCTGCAGCAGAACTTTGCCCTTTGGGGAAGGGACAATGTTATCAACAGAGTTTATTTTCTTCTTAGTAAGGGTGACTTGTGATTTATGGTGGAGTGATGGGTTTTGCTTAGAAAAACAAGGATGTTTTCAAAGGAGTGACTCCTAAATGGTTTGTTCTTGGTTTTTATGAGCTTCTGAGACTTTTCTTTTTTTTGACCTGGAGGAAGAAGAGGTGACTTAGAGCCTGCAGGAGGGGCAGTGAATGTGATTTGAGGGAAACCATGGAGATGACAATTTTCCTTCATTTTTGTTAAAGGAACCCTTGCTGCTTTTTGCACTGTGGCGTTTTGTAGAAATGTATCCAAACACTTACTGCTGTGAGCAATGGATCATGTTTTTGTTGGCACCAGGAGGCTGAGGCTGGGAAGCCAAATGGTGTGGCTGGGAAACACCAGTCACACTCACATGGTCCAGATATCTGGAGGAGATGATGTGGGTGTAGCTTTGTTTGTATATTTTTTGGAATGGTGTGGGGGAAGGAGGGAGTGAATAGAAAGAATGGCTGGAGGATCCTGGAAGAATCTGTGTGCTCATGGGAAGCAAACCTGCTTTTTTTCATGTAGCATTAAATATAATTTCCCACTTAACTGCTGTTGCAGGACTTTTCAACATCTCTAACAAGGGAGTTGAAGTTTTGCCTGAAATTGTGTGAACCTCATGAATTTGTGCAGGATGTGAAGGTTTTACAGCTCTTGGGATTAGGTGGTTACATTGCAAATGGTTCCAAATCTTGTACTGGGAACTTGGTTTTAGAAGCAGCAGAAACCTGGCTGGTCTTGGTAACCAGCAAAACAATTTTATGAAAAAAAAAATATTTGGCCAATAATTGTTTTGGCCCTGCAAATGCAAAGTGAAGAAGCTTGATAGAGTTTTTAGGAATTGGAGTTTGTTACCGGAGAGGAACACCTAAAATGTTAAGAGGAATTGGGAGTTCAGCTGCATCCTAATTCATTGATGTGGCTGCCAGGGTGGTGAGAGGAAGGAAGGGGTGCAGTCAGAAGAATCTTTAATTTTCACTGTCCCTGAGTTCATTGATGATATCCCAACTCCAGACAGACCCCAGAGGACAGGTTGGATTCAACAACACCACTTTAGGCAGCAGTTCAAGCCCTGTTTGCACTCCCTGGTGACAAAGTCCATTGCACATTTGTCCCCAAGCTCATCCCTGCCGTGGTCCTGGGCACAATTCCTCACCTGGCACTTGTCTGATGTGACATTTTCCAGTGCATGTTGTGAATGGTGTGCCTGACTGAACAGTGTGTTAAAACTCATTGACTCTGTATGATAATTTCACACTTTGCTGCTGAGAGGAGTTATTTCATTTTTGTGTGTCTCTGAATTCCCTGCTGGCTTGTTCATGTGGAAAACTGGGCTACAAGATGGAAAAGAAAGGATGTGCAGGGCAGCTTTGCCTTGTGGAGCCAGCATTCAGCAGACTTGCAGTAGCTGCTGGTGCTTGGGAAGGTTTCCCCTCTCCCCATGCCCCAAAGTTTCAGTTTTTTCTGTGAGAGGGTCAAAGTGCAGCTTCACCTTTTTTCCCCTCTTTGCTGGAAGGTTTTGTTTCTGGAGTTGTTGTAGGGGCTTTAATGAAGCAGTTGCTTAGCACAGACAAAATGTAAACATCCTGTGTAGGTGAATTTCATGTGACCCTGATTCTGATAGGTTTTCCAAATATTCCAGGTAGGTCAGCTCCAAAACTAGCAATGGGATGAGACATAGCAATAGCTGACCTCACTGCAAACACATTTTCCCCCTTCATATCAGCTGTTTTATACCTACAGACTTTTTCTATTGAAATAGAGGAGTTGGATGGTGCAGAGCAGTGTGTGTGTGTGGGAAGGTCAAACAAACATTAGGGTAGTCACCTTTTAAGGTTTCTATTATAAAATCCGGGTTTTTGAAGTGGTTTAGAGTGTAGCCACTGAATAATGCTTTGGGCTAAAACGTGTTAAACAAGGCTTTAAATAAAAACCACATTTTAAAGTAAGTTTTCCTCAGAAGAAAAATCAGTTGGACAATTTGAGGGCATTGTGAGCACAGTTTGTTGTCATTAGCACTAGGAATAAAAATACAGTGAAAGAGTTAAAACCTGCCTTTGGGAAAGGTGTGGGCAACATGTATCTGAGTGAGTCAGGACTGTGCCCATGTGGTAACAGGGACCTGGTTAAACCTTTCAGTGTTGCTACAAGTTGCACTCTCTGGACACAATGTCAGTTTTGCTTGCTCTTTCTACAAAGTTTTCTTCTTCCCCCAAATATTTCTCCTTCCCCAGAGTATCTCTGGCCATTTTTCCAAGCCCTGTATGAGAGCTCTTGGAGCAGGACCCGGCTCCCAGCGTGTGCCTGGCACCTTCTCCTGGTACCTGAGCGAGGCCCCCAGGCGTTACCGCAGCACCATTGTTCTGGGTAATTGCTGCTTTTGAAAAAGCATTCAGCTCCGAGGAGGCTGCTCTTATGTGTGTGTTCCTGTATCTCCCTGATGCTCCAGGACTTTATGCAATACTCTCAGAACACTTATCTGACAAGTGATCCTTGGGTAGGAAGGGTTTTGCTATCTCTGATCACTTGTGGCTTGTGCTGTTTATTGTTTTGTGGTTTGGTTTTTTCTCCCTCTGTGTGTGTGTGTGTTCTCGAGGATGGTGTTGCTGGTCCTGACACGGGCAATAACACAACTGGAAATTGGGCAGCTTTATCAAAGATCTCTTTCAGTTCACATCATCACACTGGTTCTGCCAAAATGGTCTTTCTTAGAGTGGTGGGGCTGAGTGATTTCAGTCATTCACTTCTGGAAAAGTTACTGACTCTGTAAAAGACCACTGAGGATAAACAGAAATAATCACTGATACCTAACTAGACTTTTCTGGCTTAACTGGGGGTTTTCTTTTGTTTCTGATAATTACTTTGTTATAATCCCAGAAATGTTGGTTGGAAGGGACCTGTTAAATTGTTTTCCATCTTTTCTCTCCCTCACTGCACTCCTACTCCTTTTAAAAGTGCAGGGATCAGGCTCAAAAGCACCAAGGGAAGTTGCCACAGAAGCCTGGGACATCCCAGGCAGACTGAGGATGAGGTTGTGTCTCCCTCTGTAGCATTCTGCCATTCCCAATTTGGGGTTTTTAGGAAGATGATAATTTAGGAGTTGTTTGTAGTAGATGAGAGGAATATGGTTTATAATGAACTAATGCTAGTAGTTAGTCTAAAACAGGGAGATTTTGAGGAACTTAGTCCTGCACTGCAGTGATATTCATTCATTCAATTATTGTGCCATTTAATTAAAATTTTTGTCCTCTTTTCTTTTTTATAACTAGGAAAATATTTTTCCATTTGTTATAGAACTGTATAATGAATGCTGTTCTTTTGAAAAACAGAGAAAGTCCCTGTAGAGGCTGAATTTCAGAACTTGGGAGTTTCACCTAAATAGAATGAAATGCTTCACAAAAAACACAATAGTCTTCCTGTTATACTTAACAGATGTCTCAAGGCAAGTCATTTTATAAACCAACCAATGTGAGATGGATAAGTAGATAAATAATTGTTGCATACAAAACAGCTTCTGTTTCTTTTCCCTGAAGGGCTTCAGGCCTCTTATATCGGCTTATGCTATATTTCAACATGGACAAAAATAAGTCTGTCTTCTCTTTGAAACCTTTTCAAACCAGCCATCTGCTTTGCCACTCATATTCAGATCTACACCAATATTTTTTCAGGGTAGGTGTAGCATATGAGTTGGGATTTTTAACTCTTTCTAGTTTTTCTACTTCTATTTTTTTTCTTTAATTAAAGTTAAGAAATGCATTTAAAATAAATTTCTGGCAAAACTCAAAGCAGGCCAAATAAAAAAAGTGCTGCATAGTTCTTGCTATGTTAAAGTTTGTATGTTGAGTGATAGCAATTGTGTTCTTTGGTTTTATAGTTGTTGGCTTTTAAATGCCAAGTGACTTGTGGAGGAGACAAGGGACAAGAGAGGGAAATAATATCTTAATTATTTTTTGTGCCCTAGTGCCCCTTGCAAAGCAGACTTGTCAGCTATATTGTGAAGATACAATGGCAAGAATTTGTATTCTATAAATATTGATGAAAAGACGTTTGAAGCTCATGAAAAATTTATTAGAAAATATGTTGAAAGATGTTTTGGCTGCTGGCTGGCCACTGGCAACCATGCAGTGTCAAAGAGCAGCTTGTTTTGCTGGTAGGTGTTTATTGTAGAAAAGGTGCTGTTTTCATGTACTAAAGGGCAGCTGTTGATGCTGAAATTGATGTGGGCCGATCCAGGTTGCACTGTTACAGTTTCCATAGTTTTATTTTTTTTATACTTTTTTGCACTCTTTTACTCCGTTTCCACTCTTACAACAAAATGTCTTCAATGTTTCCACTCCTGAAATGTGGACAGGTCAGTGTTGAGGAGATGCTGAGGACCAGGACAGTGTTCCTCATATAGATCAGTGTTCTTTGGGACAAATTTCCTCTGGCCTTTGAGGGGCTGGAAGTTTGAATTTCTAATTGCTGGTGTCCTACGATATCCTTGAGTGACAAAGCAAGGCAAGATGGACAGAGCAGAGTCAGTGTGAGCAGATCTGACTGCTGGGAGGGCTCTGGCTGTGCCTTGGTTCCAGCCACAGCAGGAAGACAAGGGGGGATAAGGGATAAACAGGATAAACACTTCCACCATGAGTAGAACAGTGGGCTTTTAGGGTGAAAGTTTCCCAAACATGGATGCAGAAATAGATTTTTTTTAAGATAGAAATGTTACTTCCTGTGAAATACCAAAATACAGCCATTTTTGTAAGCAGTTTCATTAAAGGTAGGCATCTGCAAATGTTTAAAACATTCCTGCTTTTCCCCAGTATGAGTTTTAAATCTTAAGCTTCTTGTTTTACAGACCAAATGGTGATCAGTTGAACCTGTTAAAGATAACTGAGGAAGAAGCCAAAAAACAAACCCTGAAGGTTTCAAGCAGCAATAACTGCAAAACAGGGATCATCAGCTTATGGCTGGATTTATTTTTAGAGAAATATTCATGATGTTCAGGAGCCTGAAGGCAATTTGGCATCTCCTCATGCGCCTGAAGGTGGCACCTGGGCATCCTGCTAGCCCAGCATGGCTCATGGGCTGTTTCTTTCTTGTGTCATCACTGCAGAGTTCAGAGAGCTGCTGTGTGGAGTGAGGCTGTAGGAAGTGCTGACATTGCCATGCAGCTGCTGAGCTGCAGAGCCCTGGGCTCATTGTGTGCCTGCATTTTCACTGATACTTCTTCTCTGCCCTAATACTCAAATATTAAAACTTCTTGTCAGTGGCCAACTGTAGGCTGGAAATTTGGATGTCAGGTCACCATTAAAATACTAAAGATGTAGACTGAAATAATGTTTTGCTAAGGAAAGGTTGCTACAACCAAGAAGTGTTTGTCACAGTATGAAATAGGAAAATGTTATTCCTTTTGGAGAGGAAAAAACCCCAAACATTTGGGATGGGTAGCTTGCTTCCAAAAACCAAGGAGCTGAACTTTGAATGTCCTGTTTGGGTTATGGCAGTGCCCAGAGGTTCCAGCTGGGGTGAGATGAAGACTTGAGGGAGAAGTGCTTCCTGAAGCTATAGCATGGAGATGCAGCAGGTGGTGTGCAGGAGAAGGGAACCTTTATTCCCCTTTTTCTGGTTCTTGCCAGTGGGAGACCTCCAGTACAGAGATCCAGTAGCAAAGTTTGAAAATTCAGCCCAGGTGTTGATTTTGAAGTTTTTAAAGCACAAACTTGTGGGGGCCTGAATATATGTTGTATTGTGGGATCTGTGTGGGTCCAAGTTGCTCCAAATGAGCTGCAGCTGCAGGGTCCTTAGTTGGGCAGCAGCTGTAGCTCGTGAGGATAACTGAAATAAATAGGGGTGGGTCAAGAGCCCAGGAGGAGCCCCTGAGAAGACAGGAAGGACTGTGCTGCTGAGAATGGAGAAGAGCCCCAGCAGAGAGGCAAGAACAACACTGCAGTGAAGATTACAACACAAACTCAGCCATCTCAGATCTTCCCTCTGAACTGAGGATGCTGGAGTGGGGCTGGAAGAGTTCAGCTGATTCAGGAACCAGGCTGGATTGAAATGTCATTCCTCTTGATACTACTTATTATTCAGAAAACAAGAAAAATAAATACAGCCTTTTAATTTTTATTTTTAAGGTTAGGAGATTATTGAACTGTATCTCACTGAACCCTTCTTTGTTGCATTTTGGGGAAATTGAGTATTTTTAATAACAGTAAGATGGTGTGGTGGTTTGGTACTCCTGGGTAAGAGAGTATTCCTGTTCCCATCTGTCCCCTTTTATTACTTCCCTGGTACCCTCTCTGGCTCTCAGCCCCTGTGTTGAGCCAGTTCAGGTGACTGGGGGATTTCTGTTGCCACTGCAGAGTATCTGAGGGAATTCTGGAATCAGAGCAGGGGAAAGAGTGAGGCCTGTGCTTGGGGAGCAGGAATGCCTCCCTTGGCAGCCAGAGCTGGGCTTGTAGAACTGAGCTGCATCCACAGCTCCACCATTTAGGACCTTCCTGTTTCTTCTCATCTCCATTTGCTCCTGGCATTGATTTCTTGATGTTTCTTTCACTGTTCTCACCTGGTTTGCCAGCCTGAACTGCTTTTGGTTTGGTTTGCCTAGAACCCTCCTAAATGCTCTTTTCTGCCGTATTACCTGTGGAGAGGATGGAAGAAGGGAAAGGATGTTCTCCAAACTGAGATGTATGTTAACCTGACAAGTAACAGCAGACTTCATTCTGTTCCCTCTAGCAGCCTCATTGGTTCTTTATTCCCCTTTATTGTTACCTGTGGAGAGGATGGAAGAAGGGATAGGATGCTCTCCAAACTGAGGTGTGTGTTACCCTGCTGAGTAACAACACACTTCATGTTGCTTCCTCCTGTTCCCTGCAGCAGCCTCACTGGTACACATGACTTGGCAGTGGTGCCTGTGCCCAGACTTAGCTTGGCCCTGGTTTCCTAAAAACCTGGGAAGAGAGAACTGGCCCCAAAGCTCCCAAGTGCCAGGCTGGTGTTTGCACAAGAACCTCCTTCCCTTCGGGGTGTGACACAGCGCGGTCACTGCGTGGTTGTTTCTTGTGGGGGATTCATCAATGGCAGCACAAATTTCTCTGCTGCTCTTGCAGAGCAGAGCTCTTGGAGGCTTGGAGTGCTCTGTGCTGGCTCTGCTCAGCAGCTCTGAGGCCATGGGCATGAGCCCAGCATCCACTCAGGATGGGGATCACCAAGAGACTTCCCAGTGATAACGGGTTCAGTTGGAATTCACTTGACCCACAAGTGAACCAGTGACCTAGAGGTGAAGGGCTCAGGCATTGTATCAAATTACAAATCATCCAAACCATCTACATCTTTCAAGCTGTTGATTATAGAAACTGTTCAATTTCTTGAGATACAATGTGTAGAAAATTGGGAATGTTGTGCTAAACTATGGAGCTTGGTGGCCGACCCTGCTTGCTCATAATTACATGAGATATAGTCTGTCACCACTGAGAGACATCAAAAGAAAGTCAGCTGACCTATTAATCTGCAAACATCTGCAGATTTCTCATAATAAAGGTAATTATACTTTGGTGCCTTCTAAGTTATCAGGCAATGTAAATTTTTTTTTGTGTACCTGAGAATTCAGTCACTGTAGTCCTTGTGTATCAAATATTCCCTAGGAAATAAATTTACTTAATTTCCAACCTTGTCTTCATAGGGCTGTGTTTGATCTAATTTAATTTTATAGGAACCACCATATTCTTAGCTATAACTGCTACTTGGAAAGGTCAGTGTTTTATGAATACTATGATGATTATTCATGTGTATCATTACAGTGTCACAAAATGGGATGCAAGATTCAAATTTTAATCTCCTACAGATGTGGAAACCTACAGAAACTCTGCTGGCTTTTGTTGGAGTGCAGTGACTTAGCAGATTCTCTGTCTTTATATGGCATGTTTAAATAAGTTCTGTTACTGCAATGTTTATATTCGGCTAGAAGGGATACAGAGAATAAGAATAGTGTTTCTTTGTCATAGTCATGCATGCTGACCTAATACTTTTGCTTTCTGTCTTTATAATATTTATGCAGTATTTAACTTGACCAACAATGTGGACTTGGAGAACACCAAAAAGAAAATGGAGCTGTATCAAAAGGATAACAAAGAAGTCATTCAGAAGAATAAGTTAAAACTGGTTAGTTAACTTCTCTCCCCTACAATTTTTATTCATTTGTTAAAGAATTAAAGGATTTGTGGAGTACTTTCTTAAAACAAATCGAAGCTGAAAGCACTTACAGGGTTCTTTGTATTTAAATATTGAGGTTGAAATGTAGTTGTGCTTTATTTTGGGGAGGGCTGGAGGACAGGGGCAGCAGCAGAGGCTGTGTAATACATCAGCAGGCATGTGTGCTGGCAGTGTCGTTGGACAATGGCCAGGAGAGATGAAGTTCATTCCTACACCAGGACAATCGTTCCTTTCTCATCTGAAGGAAAAAAGAAATCCAGACTCAGACATTATGAAGCTCCCAGGAGAGAGTTGTAAAATTGAGGCAAAACACAGGCCTGGTTTGTACAAAATTTGAAATGAAAGATGTTGAAACAAACATTAAAACTTTTGTTCAAGAGCTGATAACAGTAACATCAGGGATATTGTATATATAATCTGTATGCAAAACACAGGGTTCTTTGAAGATTCATTCATTAAATTATGGCTCACATTTCATTTTTTTCTTTAAAAATAAACTTGCATGCATTTATTCCTGTAAGAAAAGTTTAATCTGTTAAATATTTTTTCAGCATAAAAATACACATTGTTATCAGTTCTTGAAGGAAAATGTCTGCCCAGAGTGTGACGTAACAAAGATTTGTGTTTGTAATCCAGTTGCACTAAGGACTTGCTTTCAAATCAGTAGGGGTGAAATCCTCACTCCCCTGAAGTCTGTGGCAAAACTCTGGGTGATTTCTTTAGCTCTAGGATTTCACAGGAGGAGATTGGAATCTGAAAAATGTTTGTTTGAACCTCTTCCTTTTAAAGGCAAGGAAATTTCCCTAGGGGTCCATCTCTGATCTGTTATCCTGTCTCTGACACTGTGCAATATCCTCTGCTTCAGAGCTTGAGGAGACCTGCCAGAGCTTTGGCTGTGTCTTATTTTACAGTGGAGCTGCAGCCTCTGGGGTCACAGTGGGAGCAGCTCTGCCTCAGCCCACCTTCCCTGCAAGGACAGGGGCTGGCTGATGCTCTCAGGCACCTCTGTAATGCCCTGTGCCCCCTCAAGCACTTCTGTTTGCTCCACAGTCCTGCTCTGCTGCAGGCTGGGCAGGCCTGTGTGAATCCAGACTCACTGAAGAGCTGGAAACATTTATCTTTAATTGTTTTTCTTTTTTAACATTTGAAACATTCATCATTTCTTTTTCAACGATTGAAACATAATAGACTTTACACAGTGGTTATTACAAAACCTGCATGATCTTGTCCATAAATTTCCCCCTCTCCTAAAAGCTGAAGGGTTGTTTTTCCTCTCCAGCTCCTCTTAGCCAGTTTTGGAATGTCTTTACTCCATGTGTGGTAAAAGGTGTCCTCCTTTCTTGCTTAAACTCCTTATGGCCAGGTATTGTCCCCCTATTCTTGACTTAATTTTTTCTGTCCACTGTAATAGGTTGCTTCTGAGGGATGTAGATGTTTTCTGTCCCTCTTGTTGTTTTTGTTACCCTTTGCCTGCTCCAGTGTGATTTCTGTTTGGCAGGCACAAGGGGCCAGAATTGAATGCAGAGATCTTAATGCCTCTCATAGAGCAACTCTTTTCCCATTTCTGCTGGGAATACATTGATCCTGAGACTGTTCTTCTCTTGTAGTTTAGAAAAAAAAAGTGAAAACTTGGTCTTCTTGTAGTTACAAATTGGTTTTTTTTTAATATATAGATATTTATTTACACTTTTTATTTATAAAACCTTTCACCCTGAGTGCAGCTTTTCCAGTGTTTCTCCCTTAAATATTTGCACTTCTTCAGTCATAGGGTAACTTCTTGCTTCCTACTTTATCACTAGATGTTTAATTTCACTTGCTGCTTTGTGCAGTCTTGAAATAGTTGTGTCTGGATTCTGTGATGTGAATGTGCCTGTTTCCCTGATTATCCTTTCCTGAATGTGGCAACACATGATTTTACTTTCTATTTACTTCTTCACTGGTAGGCTTGAGTTTATTCCAGGCTTTACTGTCATCATCTTTTCCTTCACATATTAGGACTGTGTTTAGGTTATCTTTAGTCTGGACACAACCCTTGCTGCCTACTGAACTCTTCTCTTTTACTGTTTAAAGAATTTGATCTGACATGTGATAATTCTTCCATTTTCCTGTAGTCTGCTCTGCTTTAGGTTTGTTTATCAGTTTACTTATTTCAGACCATAATTTCTCTGGGCTGTTTCTTCAGACTAGGTCTGTCAGCACTTCCCTACAAGTTTTCTTCTGTTTCAGTGTGAATTCCAGGCAGTCTTTAGAGATAAATGTGGAAGAGCCTTGCAATGTCTCAAAGACCCTGAGCTCTTCTGTCCTGTTGACCAAACTAACTAAATCCTTTAATTCTCAGACATAACCTCAGTTAGAAATTTGGGGATTCTCTTGTTTGATTTTTTTCCTTTCATTAAATGCAAAGAGAGCCCAATTCCAGGTGGTTGCTGGTTGGTGACCAGCTTTTTATCAGTGTCACTGCACCAGTTACAAAATGGAAGCAGCTTCTGTTGGCTTGGGGGCAGGTGGTGACATCTCCCAGGAGTAACTGGGACCCACTGGGACCCCCTGGCTCAATCTGTCTGGTGAGGGGATTTTTTTTTTTGGCAGATTCTGGCTTTTATTAGGTAGCTGTGCCTTGTGATATGACTTTATGATTAGAGCAAACTTTACTATTGTCTTGGCCTTGATAATGATCACAGAATCCTAGAAGAGCTGAGTTGGAAGGGACCCACAAGGATTATTGGGTCCAGCTCCTGGCCCTGCACAGCACCATCCCCACCCTGTGCTGAGAGCATTGTCCAAACCCTCCTTGAGCTCTGCCAGCCTTGGTGCTGTGCCCACTGCCCCGGGAGCCTGTTCAGTGCCCAAACACCCTCTGGGTGAGGAACCTTTTCCTGATATCCAACCTAAACCTCCCCTGACACAAGTTCAGGCCATTCTCTTAGGTCTTGTCGCTGAGCACTACAGAGAAGAGATCAGTGTCTTCCCCTGTGATGTTGTGCTGAAACTCCTTTCATCAGTAAATCATCCATTTAAGTTTATAAAATTTTAATTATCTTGCCATTTTTACTGCATCTCCCTTTGCTTTAGCGTGTTCAATGGAGAAGATTTAGAAAATGTTTCCTGTATGTGTTTCCTTGTACCTTCTAGCAACAAAACTGACATTCTTTTGATCCACCTTCTTTATAAAATTGTTTAATCCTCTTATTTTCCTCTGTCTTTAAGCCCTCTTCTGTTTTTTATTCTTTCAGTGTGATTTTCAAATACAGATTACCTAATAGTTTACACATTAAAAAGATCCTTGCCAAGAAATAGATCTGTAACAAAAACTTGTCATTTTGTACTGGTAATCTTTCTTTTCATCTCATGTCACATGTCTGCAATCCAGGTTATAGGAAAAATTCCTTACTTTCCAAAAATGTGACATTTTCACAGTTAATGCTTAAATGCTTAAAGATACAAGCTTCCCTATTAATAGTCAAATATTTGTAATTTCTCATTTTTCTTCTACACAACTGATAAGCATGGTGCTTTGCAAAGATGCAGCTGAGGAGTGGGATGATCAGGAACAGTATTGTGGGATTATGTTTTTGCTTATCCTACTTGCATCATTGAGTTATAGGATGTGTGGGAGCTGAGGGGGGCTCACTTTAGAGTGAAAGTGGAGGGAAAACTTCTAAAACATTGAAGGAGTCAGATCTGACTCCAACAAAAGCAGCAAGTTAAAAATCTTAACTTTACACTGGGCAGTGAGGAGGTAGAATAATCATCCATAATCACCTTAAAATTCTGCTTTAAAGGGTAGAATTTAGCTGCTTTCCCCTTGCGTGGCCTGGCTGGGGTCCCTGGGGGCAGTGGGGGTGCTGGAGCTGATTTCTGTTCTCCCCCTCAGACGCGGGAGCAGGAGGAGCTGGAGGAGGCCCTGGAGGTGGAGCGGCAGGAGAGCGAGCAGAGGCGCCTCTTCATGCAGAAGGAGGAGCAGCTCCAGCAGATGATCAAAAGGAAGAATAAACAGGCACTCCTGGATGATCTGGTGAGTAACAAAAGCAGAGGCTTTGAAAGCTCAGTAGGATTGACATCCATCTCTATCACTGTATGGAATTAACAGATCTGTCCCCCTTTCCCTGTTCTGTGTGTTTTGTGTTTCCATTCTCTCACCTGTTATTTATTTCAGTGCTGCAAACCACTCTGGTTTTGGTAAGCTAGGAGCTGGATGAAGGCTGCTGCTGGGATTTGTAGCTCAGCTCTACCTCTGTTGGCTTTTAAGCAGTTCTGAGGAGTGGCCGAGGTGTGTGGAAGCAAAAAGGTCATCAGGAGGTGCTTCTTGGCTCAGCCACCTGTGCAGTGGAGATGGGGGAGAGCAGGGGACAGGAACCTCATGGGTTACCCAAGCATTGCTCAGCTCTTTTCAGTCAGAGCATTTTAATGATTGGTGGTTCCTTTCTCTGCAAAAACTACTGTAACAGTGTTCACAGGGGTCTGAGGAAGAGGGAAGAGATGAGGATCTGACTCTATGTTTCAGAAGGCTGATTTATTATTTTATGATATATATTGCATTAAAACTATACTAAAAGAATAGAAGAAAGGATTTCATCAGAAGGCTGGCTAAGAATAGAAAAGCAAGAATGATAACAAAAGCTTGTGGCTTGGACAGAGAGTCGAGCCAGCTGACTGTGATTGGCCATTAATTAGAAACAACTCTGAGACCAATCACAGATTTACTTGTTGCATTCCACAGCAGCAGATAACTATTATTTACATTTTGTTCTTGAGGCCTCTCAGCTTCTCAAGAGAAAAAATCTTAAAAGATTTTTCAGACGATATCATAGCATGAAAAGTTTTCTGCCTTGAGTGTGTCATGTTCTCTTACTGCAACTTCTCCTGTACAAGTTGTTCCTTTTGAAGTGAATGAGGCTTGTATAGACACACAGAGGAAAACTCAGACTGCTTTTGGAAATTGTGGTAATCTTGATTAATTTACTGATTCTGCATCTCAAATGCAATAATGTGTGGGCATAGAGAAACTCAATGTGTTACTTCAACAAGGTTCACATCTCAGTTTTTTCAATACATTCAGTACATTCAATCATTTCAATACATTTCAAGACATGCGCACACACACATTCACAGGGGTAACACCCATGAGGACAGTCTGTGTGCACACAGCCTGTGTGTAACCTTGAGGGAAATCAGAAAAAACAAGTATGTATGTATACTTACCCATGTTCAGCTGTGTCAGTGTGGTTTAAAGCTGCTTGACATATCCAAATGATATTTTCTCTTCTGTCAGTGCATCTCACACTAATGCAGTGTTAATTCCTGCTTTGTAGTCTCAGTTCTTATTCATGATACAGATGCTTTTCTGTTTTTCCTGGAAAAGTAGAGTTCCTCCTTGAGCCAGGGCAGAAGGCACTGACATGGCCAGAGGATCTAAGTGAAATTTAGGAGTTTCAGGGACTCCTGAAGAGATAGATGCCTTGCTTCAAGCCAGGATTCCTGGCAACCTGTTACTGGTTTTTCTTTTGTAGGCAAAAGCAGAGGTGAGCATAAAGCTTTTTTTAAAAAAAGTCAAGCCTGTATCTTTACATCCAGCAATCTATTTTCACTTTAAAGGTAAATGCTTTTACAGTCCACACAATTAGGAATAGTAGATAAAATAATAAAAACTCCACTATGAATTTGAATTTAATTTCTCAGAATATGGATTTGGAGTTTCTGACTTTTTAAAAACGTGTTCTAAAACACACTCCTAACTGACTAGAGACCAGTGACTGATGTGTGGTTGTTTGTTTAATTTTTTTTCTAGCACAGCATTTAGTTTTACTGGAAACCTTCACCAGGTGGCTTGCAGAAAGAATAGCTATAAATAACCCTTAAAACATGACTAAAATAAGTAGTTTTAACTGTGATTGCATATGAATTGCTATTAAAACAAATCCTAATATTCTAAAAGCAATATAAAGGTAATTTTTAAAGGCTGAGGGAGGAAACTGCACAGTTTCAAGTTGTGTCTCTGTTTCTGAAGGGGTAGTGTCAACTTAAATTTGAGCCAAAACTTGTTTTGTAATACTAATAAGGTTTATAAAACCAGCACTGAAGTGTTTGTGTAATGACTTACAAAGTCTCTGGAAAACCAGTGGTTGTTAAAGAAATAAACATTTCCTATGGTCTCTGAAATCTGAAAATGAAACTGATAATGAATAAAACTCAATTGAGAAATGCAGCAAAAGCCAAGCATAGGTAGTAGCAGTGTAAAGAATTAACTTAAAAATAATCTTATATCTATGGTTGCTGGTTCTGTGCTAAACCAAAAAGGATTAATTTCTGGCTGCAGAGGTACCAGTGGTAACACCACTGACTCTGCAGGATTGTGAGAGCAGAGGAAGGTGAGAATCTGACATTGGTTTTGAATCTTCTCCTTTGGACAGATCACTTGGTGTAGCCTACAGCTCACACTTACTGAATCTTGGTAATTATTTTTTTCAAGTTTACAGCTGTCACTGGGCAACAAGGAAAAGTTAAGGACACATTTTTTGTGTTGTACAAGCAGAGATGTCAGGTATTTTCCTTGTCAAGAAATGAATTTAACCTTTGGTGCTGAAGTCTTACAAAGCTGCAGATCTCATGGAATCATGGAAATATTTGGGTTGGGAGGGTCCTTGGAGACCATCCAATTCCATCCCCCTGCCATGGGGAGGGAAAATTTCCACTGGAGCCCCATCCAACCTGACCTTGAACATGCACAGTGTGGGGACATCCACAGCTGCTCTGGGCAGCCTGTGCAGGACCTCACCACCCTCTGGAAAGAATTTCTTCCAGTGTCTAACCTAACCCTGCCCTCTGTCAGTTTGGAGCCATTCCCCTTGTCAGGCTGCTGTAAAGGGTCTCTCTCCATCTCTTTTGTCAGCTCCCTTCAGGAATTGGAAAGCCGCCATGAGGTCACCCCAAAGTGTTCTCTTTTCAGGCTGAGCAATCCCAAAGCCCTCATCCTTTCCTCTTGGGAGAGATGCTCCTTCCCTCCCACCATCTTGGTGGTCCAGGTCATTGGATGTGTTACTTGTGGTGGTTTCATATGGAGCAAAGGTCTCAATTGTGTGCAAAAGTGTTTGAGAATGCTGTACCCTCTTCAAAGAGCTGATCATTTTAGTACTCCAGAGGCACAGAAAAGTGTTTGGTATTCTAAATGTTGTGCAGTGGGCCCTGGTTTGTGGCCAGCCTGGAGAGTGCAGGGCTCCTGCAGAAAGGACCAAGCTCCATGAACCCATCTTGGCTGGGAACAGGGAGGGAAAGGCCAGTGGGAAGTGCTGGAGAGATCAGCAAGGCATTGGGGGGACCAGGCTCTGCAGGGCACTGGAAAAGCAGCTGGGTCCTTTTGCCTCCCTAATTAGGCAATTTCTGTGTTACTGCATTGTAGGCCACCTCTTTTACAACAGAACCTCTCACTTTAAAAGCACAATACCCTGTTGTGACTTATTCTTGCAGTCTCAAATGCACTTTGTGCATCACTGGGAGAGCTGCATGAGTGTTTTATTTTGGGTTGTTGTTTGTTTGGGGATTTTTTTTAACCGTGGATAATCCAGGCTGAGTAAAATATTAAAGCACTTTCTTTATGTGCTGTACAAAATCTCATGTATACACAGGATTCTAAGATGATCTCTTGTGTTTTATGGGACTTGCACTTTCCTCTTGAACAACCCATAATTCCCAGGCATGAGCACAATGGGAGAGGAGCAGGTTTTCCCTGGCCTGTGGCATAGCTTGGAACCAGGCAAAGGCATTCAAGAGGGTAAATCCACACTTTCACCAGAACCTCAAGGGTTTTGAGACAACTCTTCCAGAAATTGTTGTGTAGAACCAGCTTTGTTCATAGTGTGGGCAGTTTATTTTCCCATACAGAAAATTGCTGGTATGGATAAACACAGGGTTGGAAGTTCCACGTGTGTTAATAGTTAACAGAAGGGCTCTGGGCATATTCAGAAGGACAAACAATCAGGATGTGGTGCCTTACTGGCACACTGTGGCTTTCCCACAGTTGTGTAATCTGGTTACTGCTCATTGTGTGAACTCCTGAGAAGTTGGTTAAAAACTGGCTTCCTTGAATCATTTTATTAGAAATGCAGTGAGTGTTTAAGGAATATGAGTGACAGAATGAACAAGGGAATGCTTTCCACTCTTCCCTTTTCCCCCAACATGTTAAATCTGGTCACTGAAAAAATTCAACATCCTTAACCTCTGCTGACAGCACATGCTGCTGCATGCAGGTTAGAGATGTGCAACACTTGAAAGAAGCAGACTCTAAACTTTGCATTTGTGGTCCAAATTGTCTCCCAGTTGTACAGAAATCAGATGTCTCTACAATTTAGGTTTTTAGCATCTTCCCTCCCTCCTCCCAGCTTATCACAGCAATGCAAGTAGGAATCTGTGCCTTAGATGTTGTATTTGTGATTCTGGAGCAGATCTTGTCTTGTGAGATTTTTCTGCCTTTATCTTGCATTCTAGTGGTAAGGCAAAGGGAGTGTAATAAAATAGAGAGGGAAAAAGACTGGAGAGTGATGTGAAAAGTCAGTGTACAATGTGACTGTTCTTCATGGTCACTTCAGAGGATTTTTCTAGGTACCATGAAAACAGCAAGGCGTTTTGTGGCATTAAAAACTTCTTACCTTGAACTGAATAATGAAAAAATCACAGTCCTGTTAATAAAATCTGCTTGGTTTTGTGAGTAACAAATTACTTCATAGTTCAATATTTGCTTGGCTCTTTGAAACAGAAGTAAATGTGATCTGTGAGAGCTTTAGGAATAAAATCCTGTGCTAGAGCAGTCCAGGAAGAATCTGTCTGAACTTCTTTCCTGCTCTCAGCTTCATGGCAGTTCTAGCCAGGAATTCTCAAGGATTTCTGTGTGCATGTAGATAGTCACATTAGTCTCTTAGAAAATTACTTAGCCAATAATTTCCTGACTCTCTCAAAAATACACTTCCACATATGTATGCTAATAATCATTCTGTCCTGACAGTTTAAGTAATTCATTTGCTTAACTATTCATTTTACTACTTTTTATGTGTATGTATGTACATATATTTAAAAATTGGCTGGCCTCCCTAAAAATAAGTTGCTGAAGGAGAAAATAAATATGCTGTTGGTTGCACTCACAATAGTGCCATTGTGCAGAGCAGAGCAAGGATCATTTCCAAACGGCCTCAGGTGAAAGCTAATGGGAAACAATTTCAAACTGGTCTGAGTTCATTGGGAGAAAGAATGTGTCTTAGATAAACATCTGATCCAAGTTATACTACTCAGTATTATTCCTTCTCTGATTAAGTTCTAATTTTTTTTTAAATTTTAATAAATATTGTTGCCTTGGCCAGTTGGAATAAGGAGCCTGTTATATTGTCTTTAATGTGGATTGTATAAAAATGGTTGTTTGCAGGTTATTCTGATTTATGGGATTGCTGCAGCTTTTTCTTATTACTGAAAATGATCCTTTTCTGTAAACTCTTTCTGAGGGAGAGGATACTTGGCATTCTGTTGTTCTCCTAGTGATGGCCTTGCAGTCACAGCTTGCAGTTTGGAAGAATGTGCAGTGTTAATTAATATTTGTTTTGGTCTAGGACTCAAATTTATTCCTCATATATTTACAGGAGAGCTCTGATCTTCCTGCCTCTCTGCTCTTAGCTCAGCATAAGGACAGATCTACTCAGCTAGAAATGCAGCTGGAAAAACCCAAACCTGTCAAACCAGTCACGTTTTCCACTGGCATCAAAATGGTAAGATTTGCTTGTTTGGTTTTTTTAATGCATTTCAGAAGATCAAGGAGTTCCTCATATGAAATTCAGAGGTTGCTTAAACCTGAGTTGCATGTTACATGAAATAGACTATTTGCTTCCAATTAAATAAGTAATTAGGAATGAATTGAAGAATTTCATCATTGTGTTAGTTGGGATATTGTGATGACCCACCCAGCAGGGTTATCACAAATATATATGGAGCATTTTCATCGTGTTGTTGTCAAAAACCAAACTATAAATTATAGCTCTCTCCCTGTGAAGTAGTGCTGTCCTTGAATTATTTTTCTTGTTTGTGTACCAATTCTGGAAGTTGAAATTTTTGAAGTTTGAGAATCATCTTTACTTTCTTCAGATTTATTTTGATCGCTGGAGTAATCTGTGAGTATGAGACTGACAGACCAGAAAATGATGCCAAGGTTAAGGACTCTATTTTCATTGTTATTTAGCTCTTGGAAACAAGTATTTTTGCAAATGTGTCACCTTAGGTGGCAGCTGAAGATCTCTGAGCATTCCTGTTCTGTGTCATGACATGGCACAAGCACACACCAGCCTCAGTACACAAATGTAAAACTGGAGGTGGGAGCACCAGTAACTGATCTTTTCTGCACCTTGCTGGTTTTCTGCTTTGTAATGTTTTAAATCTCTTTTTAGACTTTTTAAAATCCACTTTTTTTACTTTGTATTTTAGAATTGATAATGGTAAATTGCATGTGTTGAAAATAGCCAACACTCTCTACTCTCCTCAACAAACCAAGAAGTCAGCAAAGCAAAAATTTGTGCATCAAGCTAGTTTCCTATCAGTAATCAATTTATTTTTGCCATGAATATTTGTGCTGTGTTCATTATCTGTTCAAGTGTTCACAGTGTGGAAGCATTTGCAGCTTTTTCTTCCAAAACAGTGTCAGTTTTTGCAAGGCTGTGTGGATTGTTTTCTTGTTTTCCTGTGGTGTAAATTAATCTTCTTTCTATTTCTTTTAAAATCTTAACAGTCTAGGGGAGATTGATGTGCTTTGTGAGAGATTATCTGTCTGTGTAGAAAAGCCAGTGGACAGAAAATGCCTCTTGTTCTGTTTAAAAAATACTCTGTCTGCATGGCTGTACTTTTTCTTGCTGTTAAAAAATATTGCCAGAATTTCCTAAGCTGTGTCTTTTCTGTGGGCAAAGGAAGAAGATCAGCTTATGCATGTGATGAGTTCAGTGGAAGTATTTTCTAATTTGTCTAAAAATTAATATTAAATGCAGTATGTGGTAAATTAATATTGAATGTAGTATGTGGTAGTGGACATTTGAGATCTGCAGCCCTAAGTAAATTTCATCCCAGAATGATGAAAGACTTGGATGAAGAGATTTGCAGCAGCAGGACATTTAAATCCTAATGTTTGGAATAATAGGGGATATGCCAGATAACTAATTGCTAATTCATTACTGTTCAGAAAATGTGAATAGCTAAATAACTTAATTTGTTCAATCTCAGGAAACAAAAATTTCCTCACCCTGATTGATTTTAGTCCTTAATTGAAAAAGAACAATTTAATTGTACTTATATCTATTAATGTTTTTTAATAGTAAGGTTAAAGATAGAAGCATTTGAAGTTGGTGACTACTATTTATGGGAAATGGATTGCATCAAAACCAACAAAATTACAGGTTTTGCTTAGAAAGATGAATGTTTCCTTATTTTCTTTACAGGTGCTTGATTTATTTATTACATGACTTTTAAAAAATAGAAATTCTATTACACAATAATAACAATATTGATACTCTGTACAATAAATGAATGAAATGCATAACTTTATAATTTTTGAAGAAGTTGGTTCCACAGCCTGAGACTGTTTCTGTGGATGTTCTGCTAGGAGGCAGCTCAGTGCTTGGAAGCAGATGTTGAATTTCTATGGATATGTGCAAATTGGCATTTACAGGGTTGCTTTGACAAACTGGCCTCATTTGAATGAAATGTGTTTTAATAAGGCTAAATGCAAAATGAAAAATAGAAGAGTAAATAAATCCCCAGGCTGGTCAGGCTCTGGGAAGAGGATTTGGAAGTTTAGCTAAGCAAGTAAACCAGTTTGACCCTCAGCCACAGCGTGTGTGGGGGGCCTTGGGTATGTGAATATTCCAGCAATAAACAGGAAAGGACTTCTCCTGAATGCAATACTGGGAAGAGTGTTGGACTGCAGAGTTCTGCTGGCTGCATTTTGAGTGCAAAAATCAGAAAGAACGTGAAGAGGAGCCACAAAAGTCCATTCAAAGGTAGAAAATCTGCTCTGTGTGCTGCATTCTGCCTCTGGTTGAGGAGGTGGTTCAGGGATGATTCAATTTACACCAAATACCTTCTTAGCACAGAACATGCCAGCTCTGAGCAGTGCAGCATTAAATGTAGTTCAACAAATGCCATCTAAATAGGAACTGAAGGAAGGAATAAGACCTGAAGTTCACACAATGTTCTGCTGGTTAATTGGCCTCACTGTTAAAATTGGCTCTGAAATGCAACAAAATCTCAAATTCTTGATGTTTTCAGATTAAGATTGGGGCGCGTCTTGGAGAGTTACTGTAGTTATCAAATGCAAGTTTGCTGGCCTTGGAGCTGGGTTGGCTTTGTGAAAAGCAGTTCTGCTCATTGCACATGATCCATGAGGGTGGGTTCTGTGTCAGTGCCAGGTGAGTTCCCACCTTGGGACACGCTTGTTTGCCAGGCTGAGTGTTTCCCTGAGAACCCGAGATGCTCAGTGCTCTCCTTTTGCGTAGGTGCCCTCGTGAAGTGGGTGGAGATTTTCTTGTGCTCTTTGTGGCTGCTTTGGCTTTGTTCCCCTCTGAACCATGGGGTTCTCACCACTCCTGTTGGTGGGGCAGCTGGAGGGGGAGCACTGAGAATTTCTTATGAAATGTAATTCTAATTAATGCTCTGGCACAAGAGTTCTGCGAATTCAGGACATTTGTGTGAAAAGTCTGGATTGTGCCCACTGTCAGAGGCTTAGCAGTGCACATTTAATGAATCACTATGTATGCCCTTCCCCTGGGCTTTTATTTTTTCCTAATAGTTTGGCCACTGACCTTTTCTGATGGGTGTTTTCCTCTAATTTTGTTTCAAAAGAAGGGAAGCCAGATAGAGCTAGCTGAGCTGCTGGCTGATCCAGAGCTGGTGTTTACACAAAGGCTGGGGAAATATGCCACTTGTGGCAATCCACTGGGGTTTTTTTCAGCTTGAGCAGGAGTGTTTTTCCTTGGTCAGAGATGTTCTTCTGCCTGACTGCTAATCAGACATGTTTCTTGGTGTCTGAGTTAGGGGCATGTCCATTCTCGTCTCCTGGGCAGTGCTCAAGGAAGTTGGCTCGTTTAAGTTGTCATTTTAGTGCTGGGAGTTCCTCTGCTTGCAGGGGGAGGAGGGGATGTCTTGTAAGCTAAGCAAGAGCATCCCCTATAGCACGAGACAGACAAATAGCTCATGGGGACAGGGTCTCCTTCACTTTTCCTTTTATGAAATTCCTTTTTTTTCTTCCTTTCAAGTGGAAGTAGCTTTTCCTCTGTAGTCTGCTCTTTAACTTTTCCAGTGAGTTCTATCCTCTGTGCACAAAGCTCACATTCCAAATCAATCAGTTTGATTTACCCCTTTGGGTAGGGGGAGGCAGTGCTGCCAGGCTTTTTTCCTTATCATGTTCATCATATTAAGAAATATACTTTCAGCACATCTGAATATTTTCAAACAATCTTATTAAAGCCAATCTCCAATCAGGTTATAGCTACAAAAGGAAGTGTAGCAATCTTAATTGCTGCAATAGTGCTAAAAATGAGATTTCCTGTCAATTGTGATACTTCAGACTTAAGCAGCTGTCAAAAAGAGCACAGTTGTCTGAAATGAATGTTTCCAGCATGTCTAGGGCTTGTCAGGAGGTACAAAACAAGGTCTGGCAAGAGAACCATTCTTCTGTTTCTTGGTGAATGTAATGACCATTTCTGGTTGTCAGGTAGCTTTAATGTGGAGCTCATTTTAAGGTGTAAAAGAGATGCTCTCATGTATTGCAGACAAATGGCAGTTTGCAAATGCAACAGGAAGGAGTTGTTTTACATGAATTTAGTTTCCTTCTTATGTCTAGTGTTGACAGTACTGTAGAAGGCTTTTCTAGGTCTGTGATTTACCTCAGCATTGTGGTTAAAAATGCATAGAAGTGTGGATGTATTTAAGTCCTCCTGAATTTGTTGAACTGGGAGCACAGAACCTTTGAGTTCATGGCCCAGCTGTTTCTATGTTTGTAGAAAATCTGAGTGCCTTAGTCTGGTTCAGCTCATGCCATCTCCAGCACATTTCAGGCTCTGTGTCTGTCCCTTTTCTTTTCCTTCCAGTTCTCTGTTTTTTTTTTTCATTTTCAAGAAAAGAAACATTACAGAACTGGAAGGACTGTCCTGGACTTCCCCCAGCTTCCCAGGACACTTAGCCTCTAGTGCTGGTATTCTTGGAGTAATCTCATGCAGTTAAAAACTCAATTACCTCTAATTGGATTGCCCAAAAATGCTGGAAAACAACATAAGTGTCCCTTGGTTTGCTCCTGCTTGGGAAAGTTTGCATTTTATACCCAAATAATTCAGAATTAATGTAATGCATCATTGACCTTCCAATTCTTACCATCATTTTTATTTTATTACCTAATAGCAGTGGGAATATTTATTAATAGAACTATTAGTGCAGAGTGCTCTGTGCTTTACCATGACCAGGATGGTCCCCAGCACAGTGAATTTGCAGTTGCAATAGATGTGTCAGGGAGGGAGGGAGGGGAGGGGAAGCAGATGGCCAGAGGGGATGTTCTCACCCAGGATTAGCCAGCAGAGCAGTGCAGGAAGGAGGAATAGGATCCAGCCCTGCTGAATTCCTCAGCCCTGGCTCTTCCGCCGAGCCGGGCTCCATCTCCTGTCAACAGCACCCCTGAATGGCAGCGAATTAGGAGTGAAATATCTGCTCCAGCTACTGCTTCCCTGTCCAAATCACA